AAAGACGACACAAAGACACTCGCTTGCATACATGCTCGTACCCGTCCACACGTTAAACACACATATGCAGACTATGAAACATACATGCATGTATACACGTGCTCACTCATTGCACACGCATTTATATACACGCACATATACACACTGATACAAGCTCGCATCTTCACATAAGCACGTACACTCCAATCGGCACACACACTTTACACACATACACCATCACACAAACAATGCCCCACACAGACATTCATATGCGAACTCTCACATAACATACACACAATGTGACCTACACATTCCCACGTACAAGCAGATAGTCACATATACACATACTTTCACATGCATACACATGCATGCATGCAGACACATTAACAATCACACACATTCTCACAAGTACACACACACTCCCATAAACACAAACCCTCACATACACACACTCTCGCGCACACGCATATAAAGGCAAACATATAATAAACAAAAGACAAACATCCCCATATAGCCCTGAACCGCGACTGCTGGGGCAAGTGCTGTTATAGTGAGCACCTAGGCTGGCACGATGCGCACGAGAGGGCGGGTGCCCGGACGCCTTTGTGTTTACAAAGCACACCAGAGTCGACCCACGGGAGGTCCAGGAGCGGTTCAAATTTCCACTGTCACTGCTATTACCCGCGAGCGGGAAACGGACTCGGGACGCCGTCTTCGAAGCGCGGTGCGCGAACCGCTGTCCCACGACTCCCGTGCGGTGTGCGAACCGTTCTTCTCCAGCTGGAACACGCGCGCAAACACGCACGTGAACACGCGCGCGAACACGCACGTGAACACGCGCGCGAACCCAGCAAAAAACTGCACACAGCGGACTCGTGTAGCTACGTCTGTGTACGGCCGCATCTCAAGAGGCTGCACAGACACAGCAGCAGGCGTCATTTGTTTCGTAGGTAAGAGGAGGCGAGTCATGGACCAAGACGACAAGGAAGATCTTGAGCCTGGACTTGAACGGGCGTAGGGGGTCGACAGCACGGGTGGCTGGGGGGGGGGAGGAGAAAGTTCCAGACTACGGGGGCAGCAGAGGAGAATGCGGGACCTCCCACCGAGCGAAGGCTGACCGGGGGCTTTGACAGAAGGCCTCTTGGTTGCGCGTAGGGGAGTAGAGGGAGATGAGATGGTGGAGAGGTAGGAGGAGGGCGCGTGGAGGGGAGTCGAGTGAGATGAGACGGGAGGTGGAGGCGATTCCACGGAGGAGCATAGAGACGTTGAGTACGATATTTAAACTGACCACGAATTACAAAACGCGCGCGCAAAAACACTTTGCAGCTACATCTATGCCGCGCGGGCACCCACGCAAACGCGCGCTGCGCGGCTCGGCAAGCCTCCTGCCGCAGAGCGAGCGGCGGCGGGCAGCGCCGGCAGGGTGCGGGTGGGCGGCAGAGGTGATGGGGTGGGAGGTGGTGGTGGTGGGCGGGGGAGAGATGGAGGGGAGAAGGGTTGAGGACAGAGTTCAGGCCTCAATCCCGTGGCCCTGTGACCACCCAGGCACACAGGCAGGCAGGCAGCCAGGTAGGCAGGCAGGCAGGCAAGGCAGCAACCCTCCTGCTGTATATTTATTCAGTGCCGCCCCGGGGCCGCCCTCCCCCAGATCCCACCGCGACCCCCAGGATCCGTCCCGGCTCGAGATGGGGCGCTCGTTTGTCTCACGTCCATTGTGCAAACTTCAAACAGAACGGAGCCGAGGCGCGGGCTGGGTGACGGCAAGGTCGGGGGGAGGAGGGGGGGCAGCAGCGAATCTCCCTCGGCCCCCTCCACCCCCCCCCCGCCCCACACTACCGCCCACTGCTTCGTACCGCGCGTGCATACGGAGGGGGAAACCAACCTGGCTGTGCAGTGGCGGTAACTACGTGGACGGTGGGCGTCGGCCGCTGGTGTTGCTCACGGAATTAGCCGCAAAATTCAACGAGCACCGACGGACCCACGACAACTCATTGGCGACCGCAGCGCACGGAGGAGGACCACACACACAGCAACTGGGTAGATAAAGTGGATAAAAGATTTACTGAGTTCACTGATTGGCTTACTCGATAATGAGGGGCAAGGGGGGGGGAATTGCGTGCTGCTCAACGCCAACATTTAACAACGATACGTTTTTGACTTGCTTCAGTCGACGAGACTCGGAGAGGATGACTCGATGAAATCCACAAACTAAAATTCCGCAAGTTATCTTCGTCTAGACTAAGACCAGGACTAAATATAAAGCATGCTGGCCACATCCCCGCTGGTTTTGGCTCAAGCCTCGCGCATCAGCCCCTGGCAACCTCCCCCAAACGCAAAACCACCGGCCCTGGAGACCGGGGGAGGGAGGAGGAGGGAGGAGGAGGAGGAGGGAGGAGGAGGAGGGGATGGTCTCTGCTTTGCATCACGGCGGAGACAGGCGGCGATTAAACCACAGACCGGCGGTGGCTCGCTCGAGCGGGCCGCCCCGATGACGCGCTCGCGCGCGTGAAGACGCGTGGGCACGTCTCACGTGGAGATGGAGCGCTGCGTGCCTCGTCCGTCCCCCCACGCCCCTCACCCAACACCCCCCACCCCCCACCGCATGTGCATGCCTCGAGCTGCAAAGGCTGCTTGGTGTATCCATTAGATGTTATTGCATGTTGCCAATTAAACACCGCCCCCCCCCCCGCAACCACCACCACCCCCCTGTGTGCGCGTGTTTACACATTTACTTGAGCGTGACCCGATATTCGCCTGAGTGCAGCGCCGTCATCATTTTGAGCACCTTGCAAAAATGTTTCTTTGGGCGGCGATCTGGAGGTCGCCGGTCCGATTCCGTCTCCTGGCCGCGGCGGTTGAAACAACGGGTGTGTGTGGGGGGGGCATTTTTACAAATTGCCTGGCGCCACCCATTTGTTCAACGCGGCAGTATAGATGGGCACACGCCACTGTCGATCGGTAGGCAAGTGGCTGGCGGTGGGGTAAAGTGTGGGTGGGCTCCCACCTCTCCCGTGGAAGAGTAGGCCAAATAACCTCTGGAAGGGCCCTCCAGAGCGTGAGCAAGTACATGCAGGGATGCAACCTTGGGGTGGGGGGGGACTAGCTTCCGTCACGTGAACGTGGAATTTCCACCGCTGGCTCAAGACCGCCAGTGGAGATGATGAGCAACTCTCCCCCACACACAGGCGCTTCGATTATATGTGACACGATTTTTGTCCCTGGGTAGTAAGTGTTATTTTGTTATTGCTTATGCCTAAAAAGTACAGAAAATGGATATTATGCCCCCCAAAAGTTGCTTTTGTGACCAAGACTTTATGTGAAGGAATATAACACAAATGCACACCACGTTTTCTCATTGAAAAGAGGTAAATTTCAAAATATCACTGGCCTCACAAAACCAAATTTTGTGGGGAATAATAGCCATTTTCTGTACTTTGAGGCATAAGGAATTAGGAAATAACACTTACTGCCGAGGAACCAAATTTTGTATTGTTACACAGTGGATTATTTCACGTCGCTCAATATCCACTTCAGACCTCACAAGGTTCGTGGATGACACTGGCCCATCCACAATGGACCACCCAGTAGCGCTGGCTCAACTGTCCACACCCCGCTGATGAGACACAGTAAAGTCGAAGCCGGTACAGGGTTTGCCACATTTAAGCGGAGGGATGCATCGTCCTCATCTTCATCACCGGAATGCATTCATGCGGGAGGACCTGCTGGTCGATGATTTAATCGTTTGAGTGATGATGCAGCCACCTTGCCGTGCCTGTTTATTTGACGAGTGGCCGTGCGCATTTGTGGTCTTTGCATTTGAGCGGAGAGCGGTGGAGACACCGGTTAGGGCACTGCGCTTATGAACCCAGACGCCTGCGTTCAATTCCCAGCCGCGGCTAACATCAGTGACAAGCGATACCTGAACCGGTTTTGGCCCCCGCCCGCCCCCCCCCCCGTTCGTCGATTCGCCCAAAATTAGTACCCGGTGTACTGGGGAGACGAAAAGCGGCCATGCAAGTCTTAATAGGTGCTCTCAAACAGAACTTGCCCCAAGTCTACATGGCCCCCACAGGCATTTTTGTGTTTGTCTCTCTCACGCGCGCTCGCCCACATAAATGTGTACGCGTGCGTGCGTGCGTGCGCTCGTTCCAATAAACTCCCTTCGGGAATCCCTTTAACGACTTCTCCCTGCCTAAGTGGAGCAGTATATCTGCTTTGTGTTACCAGTGCTCAAGTTTTACTGCGGAATCACCACCACCTCCACCTTCGCACACCGCCGCCGGCCCGAACTACCAAAACCAAACGCACCAAACCGACGCGCCGAGGGACAAGCCAACGAACTGACGACGGAAGGAGGATCGTCCCGCACCCGTGGCGTTGCCCATCACTCCCCGCCACCGCGTTTCACCGCGCCGCGTTACCGCCCCGCCGAGGCGGCACGCCCAGCCGTGGCTCGTCGATCGTCTCGATAAAAGCGGCAATTTGCACGTGCATACGTCCTGCGTGTCTGCACGTGTGCACCTGTAAAGGAATGAGACTGTGTATAATTGTGCAGTGTGTAAACATCGGCACTGCGGAGACAAAGGCGGTCGTGCATGGGGCTGGCCACCCGCCCCCCCCCCCCCGCCTCATTGGTCTGCTACGTCGGCCTTTATAAGTACTTTTCACTGCAATAGTTAAAACAGTCCGATAAAGGTTATCTGTACGTGCGTGTATCTGTGTGTGTGTGTGTGCATAAAGTTTGCTGACGTGGCCACTGCAGTACAAGCTAAACTGCAATGCATGATGGGCTTCAAAACATTCCGGCACAGTTGAGTCTGGATGCGCGTTTCCAACGACGGTGAGGAGCAGCGACCCTGGGGGAGCGGCGACGCCGGGGGGAGCGGCGACGCCGGGGGGAGCGGCGACGCCGGGGGGAGCGGCGACGCAGTGACGCCGGGGAGCGGCGACGCAGTGACGCGGGGGAGCGGCGACACCGGGGGGAGCGGCTACGCAGTGACGCGGGGGAGCAACCTCCTCACCTGCTTCTCCATAATGCGCATGAGCTCGCCGAGGGCCCTGTCGAGCGCCAGCACCTTGTTGTTGGGCCACGGGCCGCTCTCGTGGCTCTGCAGCTGCTTATTGATGTCCTTCACCAGACGTTGGAGCCTGGAGTGCGGCAAGAGACGCGGTCACGCGCACGCACACTCCATCGCCCACCCGGTGTGGGGTGCAGGCTCCGCCGAAGGGAGTGTTCTCGAGTCTTCGTCTCGTCGACAACTGCCGGGCTGCGACGTTCGCCGAGTCTCGGGGATTTCGTGCGGTCGTTGCGTGCGGGCCAAGCCAACGGCGCACAGGGCGAGCGAGGTTACCCGGATCGAGAAATTCACCCGTTGTGTGCACTCCACGCTTTAAGACTTGACTAGAACTCCACAAGCCTGTCGTTGTTGACGAGGCTCGGCTACGAGTTGCGATAACACAACGCCGGCTACATTAACACAGCCGCGCGGGCGCGCTTGCTCACTCGCTGCGTGCGTAAGCGATGTGTTTCTCCGTCGCGCGCTTACTTGGCTTTGTAGGCCGACTCCGGCACTTGAACCTTTCCATCCAGAGAGGCCTCGAATTCCTTGGCCCTGCCCGACAAAGAAATAAGATCAATCCAGGTCAAAAAGCCATGGTGGACAAATATTTTGATGCCACCATCACCACCACCGCAGCTCATCGCCACCAACGCTCTCTACCCCCTCGGGCCAGATCCCGCGGCTGCTGCTGCACAGGAGACACGCTGACGACCTCCAAGAGCTGACCTAGCGGTCTGCCAGCACCTGCTCTGCTCCCCAGCCTCATCTCGCTCGCTGGGCCCTCCTCCACCACCGCGCCTAACGTCTGCCATCCAGCGTAATATCCCGTCGGGGTGGGACCGGTGTGGAACCGCGTAACTACGTCGGCAACACCCTCCCTGCCGCGCGCGTGCACACACATACACAGATCCCCTGTACAGTATTATGACTGTCAGGGCAATGGCTGTTAGCGAGGACCTTTTTAACAAGGTGGTGGTGTGGCCAACATAACTCCTGGCCCCCTTTGCCTCCCCAGGTAAGACGGTGAGTTGACTTTAAGGAAGGCCCAAGTTTTGATGCGAGTCGCCACTGATGTAAGCCGTGGGCTGCGAATCTCACTCAAGGCTCAGAGTTCGCGCAGCGTGTTATTGTAAACCACTGCACCACAGCTCGCCAACGTATAAAGAGAAATATTCCCCGTATATCTTACACAGACGTTTGGGGCAAGTGCTGTTAAGTGAGCACCGCACCCGCTTAACTCTCTTCTCTTCCAAAGCTGTTTCCACAACAGAAACCGCGGAGAGACCAACGGCAAAAAAGCGGTCACAGCCACCCCCCCCCTCCCCGTCCACCGAGAACGTCGCGATTCGGCCGCGACGACGCTCGCTCGGCGGGAGGTCCCTCGGTCTTCCGTGCCGTTTGCACGCACCATCCCGGACCGGCGCGTTCCAAGCCGTCAACTTCACTCGATACCAGACGCGATAATTTTCATTACAAGACCGGCGGACGAAATTGAGAATTGCTGAACGGGCATTTTGGTGCTCTTTGGCACCCAAAATTGTGGAACAGCTTACAGGGAAAATGTTATCGATGCTCCTGACAGTTTAAAACTCAAGACGTACTATTTTAAGATGGCGTATGAATAATTTAAATGAAGAGGACAAAAGACGTCCAGCACGTTTTAGCTTTGTAATTTGGATAATCCTCGTTTGTCGTGTAATTCGCGATGTTTTTGAACACTGCTCACTTGGTCTGCGGTCGTTTCTGTACAGGCCCCAATGTGCGGGCGGCACAAAGATGCACCGCATGGGGAGGCGCGACGTAAAAAAAAACAATGGCGATGATGACGAACCCCCTTCCCCCCCAGCCGGCTGTGCTGTCGACTCTCTGCCCCTGTTCCGAGTCCAAGCTCAAAACTTTGCTTTTTTTTTTTTACCCCGGTGATGACCGACCGACCGACCGACCGACCGACCGCCCCTCACGCGCCTACAAAATAAACAAGCGTACAGCAGTGGCTCTTCCACTTCAGAGCGCGCTCGGAGAGGCCAGACAAAAGAGTGTCCTCTCGACGCGCTGTGCACGATGGCCGCCGCCCCCGAACGGCACCCATCGCAAACGTACATTCTGTTCCGGGGCCGCGGTGTTTACTATCGACGAACGCGTCCAGAGCTGTTGCCACCCGCGATAGGCCGATACTCGGGCATGAATTACCGAAATGACGGCGCCGTTAAACATCTCACCTCCACGCCCGCCGCCCGCTGTGGTCGGTCAGGCCTCAACATTTTGTTCCTCTTCCATTGTTATTACGTTGCCCAGGGATCTTCGGAAACTATTTATAGGCATTGCGATAAGAGGCTAACGGCTCTGTAAATTCTCCCACGTTCCGTTTCGCCTCCCCTCCTTGAATTGAAAGAACGATCGAGGGCGTCATTCTGCGAAGGAGGTATTTAAAGTTTCCCGTGCAAACATTCAAGCAAATGCTGCGTGGGTTTTTCGGCAAAATTGGATCCGACAACTGAACCCCGCTTCGTCCTCGACCAAGTGGATAGCCCGGGGTGGATGCCGATGATAGAAATACATCCAAGCGTGTGACATATATATACGGCGGTCCCTCGGTTAACGATATTAATTTGAAGCAGGAAAACCCATCTTTAATTGAAATTATCGTAAATCCAATTATAGGAAATGCATGTTAAAGGCTTAATTGGTTCCAAGACGATCGGAAGTTGACCTTTTTCACCCTAAAAACATAGCTTTTAACATTTAAACATGCAATTTTAATAAATAAACGTTATAAGAACATATTAATGCATTAATATTAATAGAAACACAAATAAAGAATACATAGAGCATAACATAAAAACTAAGAAGATGAATGGCTTAAAGGGTTGATAGAGAAGTTGTGGTGGGAGAAACATTTTTTTTGGAAGAAGCGCCTCCTTCCATTAGAACCTCTGGATGTTCAGAGGTGGTGGAGGTTGAGGGGTCAAAAAAAGGCATCGCTGATTGGCTGAGGTCTGCTGCAAAATCAACGTTAGCAGCGCTCCGATTGGCCGAAATTGGCGGGTCCGTGTGATATCATAAACATATCGTTGATCGAAAATGCATCGTTAGTAGAAGCAATGGGACCCTATGGGAGGCAGATCGTTAATCGAAATATCGTTCATCTTTGGCATCGTACACCGAAGGAGGGACCACTGCATATATACGGTATGTTCGCAGGCAGTAATTGGCTAATTAACTTCAACTGGCAGGCGCCTTGATCAGGAGGTTGTGGATTTGTGAAGGCGCGTACCTCTGTGTGGTGGTTGTCCTACGAAGAGACTCGCACCCTGCCACAGGAATGTAGAATTCCCACTGTGGGCTCAGGCCCGCAAACAGGAGGTAACCACCGCTTCAATGCTCACCTGAGCAACAAAATCTCACTGACGAACGAACTTTGACCTTCAACACGCGACTGGGGGGGGGAGGGGGGAACCCCAGGGCGGCCACGCGCTCGATGGTTCGGTGGAGATGAGATGTGCGACGAGCCAAAAAAACGAGTTCGCGGGACCGCCCGTCACGGGCCAACCGTGTTTGGCTTTCAGGGTGTGTGGGGGGGGGGCATTGAAATCGGGGTGAAACGAGATTGTCGCAACCGCTCATAAACCCAGGCATGTGTCCCCACGACTTCTGTGAGCATTTAAAAAATAAATAAAACGAGCCAATAAATCAATCCTCGACGGGATTTAGGGCCTTTAATCGTGCGTCCTCAGAAGTGTGCCGACTTGACTGCCTCCTCTCTTCAGCCAAACCTCGCCGCATTTACTGCTCGGCCCGCCTCGGCAACGGCGGCGGGTGGATGGCGGCGTCTGCTGCCGACGATTCGGCAAAACGCCCCCGAGCGGTCTGCGCACCTAACCAGCTATCGCTGTCAGCGGCATTAATCATAATAACGAATCGTTTCCGATTGGATGGGATGGCGCCACACGTGTCTCCCCCGCCGAGTGCCCTTGTGATCCCGCGATCCAGGACGTTATGCGAATAAGAGCTTCGAGCCACAAGGCGTGTCCGGGGATTTAACCCCCGCAAATCTGCAGTTGTACAAAGGACGGCGTCCGCTCGCCCTCTCGCTCACCCGCCCGCCCACCCGCTCGCCCGCCCGCCTGCTCGCTCGCCCGCCCGCTCGCTCGCCCGCTCGGGCCGTTCAACGAATTCAGATGCAGATTTCCAGACACTTCAAAACACGTGGGTAATCGCTTGTGTAAGCGGATTTTTACCAGAGTCCTTACTAAACCAACCAATTAGGACTACCTCTTCTTTTGAATAGCTGATGATAGATGCAGAGCAGCAACTACAATTTCACATTACCGGTGGTCAAGCCAGATAATCGCGTCAGGACCAGCCGAGTGTATCGCTGCGATGTCTCCTTCATATTTGTGGATCGGGATTGCGTCGTTATACACTGTATGGTCTGTTCTGAATGACCAAAGTCGCACACTGCCATGGTTTGTGCAGTGGATGCGATTTAGTGTGGACCATGAGCTTCGTGGAAGGTCAAACGCAGGGATCTTTTGCGTTGGGTCTTTCACTGGACTGCTGTTCAGACACAAACAACTTGTCCGTCATTTTCAATAAGAGGAGAAACGCTCATAACATATCAGTGTCAGACGCAGATGAACTAGATGAACCGACTTTTTTTTTTAATCCACGCTGGGCGGCGATGTTGCATTCAGTTTTGCGTGTCAAGCCGCTGGATTATTCCGTAGAGGGGCCATGACTATTCTTACGATGCCTTTGGAACTTTTGACGGTGAGGTTGCCTTCACCTTTGACCTTCTCCCGGGTACAAGGGACACTGCGTGAAGACGCGACAGACTGGCATCGCTCGTTAATCCAGGCGTCAAGTCGTGGGCAGTGACGTCTACTCGCCCCGGGGCATTGCGCCTGGCCAGGCACTCTGGGCCTCCTGTACGAGGGCTCTCTAGCAGTCGCGCAAGTCTTCGCAGGGCTGCACCGTTAACTTTGATCCCTCTTACTTCATCAAGTGATTCCAATCAATTCCCGCAGTTCACATCGATCAATTGTTAAAATGGCCATGCCTTCAGGAAATCTGACATGGTTAATAATTTCTCCAATTACAGCTACGCCTTTATTTATGCGGAACCAATATTCACCTTCCAATGTAGTTGCGAATAACGCTGGGGAAAGCGTGTCTCCTGCGATTCTCCCTCCGGGCTGAATGCTAGTATTGGTTTTACCTACAGGCTTCCACAACCAAGAGTATGGTTCATAATCAGTTTCTTTTGGGTTAGATCATCGTTTGAACTCCCGACGATGCTGGATGTAAGTTCCAAAGAAACGTCTTCGCACAAAAACAGTGAGCATTTTTTCCTTGCTTTTCAACATTCATCCTCCTCCTCTCCCGGTGTTTCTGATACATAAAATCAATTGGCATATTTTCCCACAACGTCACATCTCGATTGGATGGGCTCTGTCATCAGGTGGTGGAGGGTTAACGCTAAATATTGACATTATACCCACACACTCCAACCCAAAATAAACCAATTATTAACCTCCAAATATGACTTTGTA